AGTCGAGTGCCTTAACCACCTGGCCATGCCGGGCCGGCAGACTGGTTGGTTTGCTTTAATATAGTCAGTGAACTGGTAGAAGCACATGTTTCCATTCGTTAGTCAACGTGTATACATCCCCACCGCTTGAAGATTATGTACATTAAGGATTGAAACATCGTCCCTCTACTATTGCCTGCTGAATAATAATAATAAACATTAAATGGTTAACACTGATTTAATGCTTTTCATATTAAGAAACTTCGAGAAAACCACGGTAAAATATGGTGATAAATACGTATTGTTATGGACTGGAAGAAGCCGTGAGAGCAAACTAGGATTCGAGCGAAGACTAAGAAATCTTGAAATAGTTCTCTTATTTTCAATTTGCACACAGCGTTGTAGCACGTGTTTGTTTTTCTACTTCCAAAACTTTGCACCACGTGGAGGTGTATATTACCACGTGTAATTAATCATGCAGCTGTAACGGTACACGACATAACACTATCTCGGGTTTCTGATATTAGAGGCCTTCGTGAGACCGTGCTCTTGCGCTCTTAGGAGTTTTCTGAGAATACGTTGGTGGGTTGACGATCGATTAGCAACAATACGGGGACCTGTATTTGTTGCTATTCGTTTTTTATTACCTAGTCTTCAACATATGATTAGGAAATTATATTCGTCTTTCTGCTTGTCTTATTGAGGGGTATTGTTCATTATCTTTTGCAACTGTGGGTATTAGCGTCTCATGATGAGAGGTTTGGGGATATAACGAAAGCCCCTCCACAATGAAACCCACTCCTCCAATTATCAGGCTTGTCGAAATTGCTTATCTCCAGATAATTATTCTAGACCCAGTACTGGTGGGATATTTTCATCATATGTTAGTAAAATGGAGATTTAGGCAACATTGGTGTGTATAAAATGTAAAATAATTGGATTGTTTTTATATATTGTAGAAGGATTTTGAAATAAAACTTTCAGTAATGCATATCATTGATTTTCTAGACATAAGGTTTGAACTTGTAGGAGCAGTAAAAAATAAGTTTATTAATCAAACGTGACTTTTGAAAATCTGCAATTCTTGTTTTTCTTGGATCAATAATTTTGTCAGAAAGATAGATCAACGTACACTTCACTTCTCACTCCGGTATCAAGGTCACTTTACTTCTCACCCCGGTATCAAGGTCAAGGCCCCAACAGGTGATCCCAATGGCCCGAGGGAACAGCTGACCAGCCATCAGACAACATTCCTTCCCTGGACGTATGGCATACTTTGTAGAACGCCTTGTTTATATGACGCTCTTAGCATAACATCGCAGACCTTCAAGTCTATCACGTGATCTGTACTGGCCAATTGCAATCTGCGAAGTTAAGTCCTGCAGTAACTGCGTTTATTTTTATGCGCTTGTGGAAGTCTGTCTGGTTTTCATTACTTACTGTACCTAGAAAACCGGCTGCTGTGGGGTTTGCTATTGATCCAATCGGTTTATAAATCAGACTGTTTGAACATCGTCTTGTCTGAGGAGTTCTAGACGAAAATTCTGATCAGTTAGAACTGGTGGAGAAGACAGCGATAAAACCTAGATTCCGTTCGCAAAATTTCTGATACCGCTGTTAAGCCTATTTGGAGGTAAAATAGACGGAGACCAAAGACCTTGCAACACCTGTCACATCTACTGTTAGTGATAAACGAAAGGTAAATTTTGTGTAGTTTTTCCTGCCATTTTCCTAGTTTCTTTTAATGTTTTCGGCCATAACTAAATGAATCTTGGCACAAAATTTGTCGGGTACGTACGTTTTTTAACTCGTCACGTTTCAATCTTGCTTTCTGAGGCTGTACTTCATAACTGTATAATGGAGATGGTAAAATATGATAATATTAAGTCGTTAAATGTTATTTCCAAATTTTTGCATTTGGTAAATAAAAATATCATAAAATAAAAGTACCTATAGGATCGAAAAACCTTCAATACAAAAGGGGTAAATATATTACATGGGTCCAAAAATATACGTTTCCTCATTAGAGCCCACACACTTTTGAAACCAGCATGACTTTTTAAAAAGTTTGTCTGTTTTCAAAGCTAAATGTATTCAGAAATAATAAGTAGTTTATCATGTAAGTTGTGTTGATAATTAATGTTTCCCTACTGTTTCGTAAATCTCCCACACAGTCTCAACCCACTGCCCCTTGACGTACATGATTAACTAAACCTAAATAATAATTAACGAAATTGATATCAGATCTTGTTTGTAAACTGGTCGACGATAAGAGACTACTACTGTGTAATCAACAAGATTTTAAATTTATAATCTGTTATGAGAGGTTCAAGTTGACAAGATCGAGGACTATTTGTAGAAATGTTTAAAATAATAGCGGGTTACGTGCAGCATTAAAAACAGTTTTATTAATATAATATTAAAGTCCTAAATCACTTATTGCAGGCAAAGTTTTTTAGTATATCGTATAGAGCAGGTCTACCCAATGTTCAGAAGCACGAAGAAAGAAAAACCTCAAATGTTACACAGAATAGTTTTTGTTTCCTAGACACGTGATGTGGTGATAAGTACAATATGGTACTTAATACATGTGTAGAGGTTATGAAAGTTTCTCGTGTGTGTGTTTGTATCAGCTGCATATGTTATCTAGTCTGCATTACTTTATTAAGTGTATATCGTTATATATTATTAGCAGTATATAGAAAAGTGTGCTTATAATTTACAAGTTCTTGGTTAAACAGTAAGTTGATATATGTAACTTAAAAAAAAAAAGTCCGTTATTAGAAATTGTTGTAATGACTTAAATCTGTTTTGCAACCGATAACATTTTCTGTTTGCGGGGATGAGGAGAGTTTACGAATTATATTGGAAATTCTGTTTACGTGTATAATTAATTCCGCAAAATCTTCTCCGATGCAAGATGCATGGAATAAATGGTAGAACTTTAATGATTTTGATGTTTTTCTTTTATACATATAGACAAATACAAAGTAACAATTTATTCACGAGTAACGTACTACACATGTTACAACACAGAATATAAGGTTTAATGGTTAGATCTACTGCGAAGTACCGTAGCTTAGAAAGAACAGAAGGTAGCTATTTTTGTACATGTATAATCATAGTTTAGAAGGTACAGTTCACTTGCCAAGATCGGTAGGTGCAGCAGTGTTTACGTCAGAAGATCTTTATCGTGAACATGCAAGGTGTATTCAAGAAGGAAGTTTTATTTATAGTTTCTTATAATAGTGTATATCATGTTTTCTATGGATACGTGTGGAACTAATTTATGTTTTTGATCCGTGTTTCAGTAAGGCAAGAAAAACAAATTTAATTTTTAGTACGACATACTTTGAAAAAAGGAAAGAAAGAGGGGATTTCGTAACTTACCATTAATATAGCTGTCAACCTTTCTTTATGTGTTTGCATGTAAGGTTTGTATATATGTCGTCTAACAGTTGTGGATAATCACCAAAGAAACAGGTTTGAAGCGCCAACGCCCTGCTGGAACTTCATGCCTTTTTGATCGTGCAAGTAGAAATGTACATGTATGTGTGGCCTTTTGGTATGGGCAATATCATCAGGCCAGTGACTTGTATGGCGAGACAACACACATGCAAAAACGGTTCCAACCGCTGGCTGCTTCAAGGTGAACCGGTCTATAAACATAAAGTGTGTTTGGCTACGTAGGTGATTCAATCATGTATACAAGTTTGTGTCATAAAGTGTGTTTGGCTACGTAGGTGATTCAATCATGTATACAAGTTTGTGTAAAGAAGTTAAAAAAAAAAAAAGTCGCATGAACAGGCTTTTTCCAAAGCACCAAGGTAATTAAAAACATGAACAGTATCACACATGGGAATGCCAAAACCAATGGTTTAATGAATTGGGTGGAATAAAGCGACGCCATTATTATTAGAACGAAAAACCAGACAAAAATATTAAGCACCACAGCAGTAACACTAGAGGTGTCTTTAATTTAAAGTACATTTATTAACCTAAGTGAGCTTTCGTGGCAGCAAGGACTTGATTTACCTTGTACTTGCCGTCCTTCCAGATGCTAGGCTTAAGAGAGCTTAGAACTAAGTGAATAATTTGGATTTAGTTAAAAAAAACAACAACAACAAAAAAAAGAACAAAAGAAGGGGGGAGACGATAAAACAGAAACGTATGGGAAATTTGAATACTTAAGCCCAGTATCCCAGAACCACTCTTTCCAGCTCAGTGTGAGACTGTATGGTGTTTATTTATTAAGTAATAAAACGTTAAAAGGTAAAAGGTTTTTAAATTAATTTAGTCTGTAAAGGTAAACGTTTAATTACACACACACACACACACACACACACACACACAATACTTTAAGTAAATTTATGTATTTTGAGGCGACCAACTGTTGTAGTTTCTCCATTATATATATACAATGAAACGCTTCTTGTTGTTTTCTGAAGTTAATTCCAACTTATTCACTAGTTCTAGGCATTCTTAACTCATTGGCCTCTGAGAAATTTCTAATTTGTAACATTTATGTTTTAACACTATAACACAGGACTATGAATTTGCAGGTCCAGCGTTCGTGTACAGTTACTGAATGAAGAATAAACAAGAAGAAAATAATGGCTCACCGAACTTTGGGGACGTTATAAGGATGAGGGTCAATTCCCATTATTCGGTTAGACTAATGTAGCCCAAGAGTTGTCGGTGGCTTCTGTGCTGTTGACTAGCTAGCTGTCACATCAAAATATGTGCAGACTGCTCTTGGGTAGTTTTGCGCGAATATTCGAGTATTTTTTATTTTTTTGTGAACCCTTAACGCCGCTCATCTTGTTGACAATTATTTTAAAATTATAGCTATATTTGGCTCTTAAAAGCAACCGAAGTCAAACAAAATAATAGTTTTTGTGTTCCAAATCTGAATTCATTGAATCTAACAAATTAAAATCGTAAATATAGCTTAAGTATTAAGTGTTGTGCTAGTTCAATGCAAAATTTACATGCAACTGGATTTTTAAGTTCTGTTATATGAAATGTTTCAGTTGGTGGCTTGACAAATCTGAATAGAAAACCATGATCCATACCATACTGAAACGCCGAAAAATCCCGCGCTTATGGGCCAGATCCCAGAATCTATTAAGTACCTAGTGACGCCTCTGAAGTTATGTTACATATTTAGGTATTGTAAGCCAGGAAATCTCGTAGCAAATGTAATGTTCTATCTCAAGTATGAGTGATGTTTAGTAAAGTTTTATACTCCACTACACAATCATTTGTCTATTAATTGACATGTACATAATGTATATTTCGATGACGAGGAACCCACTTTGAGACTAATAATAGTTGGAGACGGCTTGAATGGGTAATGAAGAAAAACTTTAATATAAGTTTAACATACCTGATGATGACAAAACCTTGTCGAAACGTTGTACATTTGCTGTTATGTTAAACTTGTATTAATGTTTTTCTTCATTACCCATTCAAGCCGTCTCCAACCATTATAATGTATATCTTATTGTGCCAAGCATTATTTTTGGTAAATTTCATTGTTTCTATTTAATAAATGTTATGTTCTATTCGTAAAACTACTTAATGTTCATATTTATTTCCGCATTTCTATTTGTTACATTTCGACAAGTTTTATTGCCCAATAAAAGAAAGTAGATATGCTCATCATTAAGTTTCACTTTCTTGACGAGAATCTTTCACACAATTGTTTTACTGTCAAAGTTTTGCTAAACTTTAAAGATAATGATGTGGGAATATGGGGTTTTTGGTAATCTTTTTTTTTATTTTGTATGCCGAGATAACGAATGAATGAAAACGCACAATTAACTGCATGTAACGATATATTCTGACGATTCATTTGAAAAGTGTTATATTGCTTCAAAATAATTTCTCTAAGCGCTATTTATTTATTTTTTAGAAGAAACAACAAAGAATTGCTTAAATCGTTTGGTAGAGAGGTAATTTGTTTGAGAAAATTGCATGTCTTAAGCAATTCTTGCGAGTGTTGCTAAAGGTTTTGCTTTAGTTATCAGTTTGGATGCTAATTTTGTTGTGTGAGTCTTGTTTATTAGATACATCTATATACCCCTCGGCACTTTGTATATATAATATGGTGATTATTGAAGGTACAGAACATTTCATAAATACGTAAGTGGTTATGTGACTGATCTTACAGTGCATTAAAAACAAGCTTGAGGTGTACTTGCATCTTAACAAATTTAACGACATTTATCAACTTGTTCTATTTTTGAATACGGGGACCAAGCTATATTTTAGCTAACCTTCCAGAAGAGGGTACGTTGTGTGTTTATAACCACAAAATTTGATGACCATACAGGCAAATATAATACATTTTGAATATCAGTTTCTCCCATTTCGTGTTTTAAGTTCTAACCTGCGTTTCTTAGATTCTTAAAGCATTTCTGTATATTTCACACTGTATATTTCACACTATTCAGGACAAAAGTTCTAATTTTTACTTATGTCCATTTAATCATTTCGTTTACCGTGTGGCTTGAAACGTGGAAAGTTGTTAATATGCTCTTGAAGAGGCTTAAGGTAACCAGTATTTTATCTCTCGTATGTAATAAACTTTTTGTCGAACTAGCAACACTGTATTTGCATCTAGTTTATCCTCCTCCCGTTTTATTTCTGCATCACGTACCATTATTGAGTACACAATAGGTCAATCTACTTTCAAGTATAATATAACTTTGGAGTACCCGGGTAAAGGAACTTCATAATTGTTTTTAATTTTGATGTCTGTGTTGCTCTTGTCAACGAAGCTTAAGGATAATCTCGTATAAGGGCTATTGTTAACTGTAACTGTTTAAATTAATAATCTTGACGATATCGTGAACTGTCTACGAGAAGTAGCAGCATATCATTTAGTACTATAGTTTTAGCCTATTTTCCCGCTTAGTCCACCTGTGGCAAAGTAACGATACAGAACTAAAAAGTTTCGACGCTTCAGTAAGATTATCATTTGTTTTATTAACATTGTTATTATTGAGAAATGTACAGTGGTCTTTTATTGTGGCTTGTCGCTTAAATAGTATAATTTCAATGAACCTCCCGGGAGAAACGTCATCTTAATTTCATGGAAGTAAACTATTCGTTATGCGTTAAATTAATTCTGCATTTCTCCACTTTTAACAACGGTTTGATTTTTAAATGAGCCAAAAACTGACAATATAAAATCGATTTTTCAATGTGCTTTACTTGAATACCTAAATATGTACAAAGGTTAAAAGTTATCCCTCGTATACGCGATTCCTGATGAAGACTTGCCACCGACTTTAACTTGTGTTTTCACATAATAGCCAAAAGATATTGGACTCCCCCCATCCGGTTTAACAAGAAATTTGAGCGTCGTTAGAGGTAAGGTAAAAAGTTGATGTTACAACTACGTGCAAGAACCTTCGTTGTGTAGCTACGTGCAAGAACCTTCGTTGTGTGTAGAACTATTCGTCTAGACTCAACTGATAAAATGAAATTGAAGTTTACCTGTGTGTGGTCTAATCATGACAAGAGATTTTGTTTAGGGATCTGCCCTCATTCCTGTTTAACTTTTTATTTTCAATGTAAAAGAACACGTACAACTTTTAGTCTCCAGTTTTGATGCATTAACAACGTATATTGTATGAATTTTGAGCGTGTTACACACCACATCCTTTAGGTGTAACTTCTAAAACTAAACAACTACACTGAGTGTAACGATATAATTCGACATTTTAAAAGTAAATGAACCATATGATATTCATACATCCAGTGTGTAAAACTGAGAAATTGAGTTCTTTAATTTGAGAACAAAAATTAAATACGTAATTGGTTTTCACAAATCCAATCATGTAACAAATAAACAGTTATTAGTTGTTTTTTTTTTCTTTCTTTTCATATTTAGAAGTAATTCAATAATTAGAAACCAGACTTACCAGAGCACAGTTACAGCTTGCTTTTGCGATTTCATTGTTTACATGAGTAGTTTAAGTATGGAGTTTTTCTAAGAAGTCGTATCTTGTTTTCTCTCTCTCTAAGATTTCGTGCTTGTTTATTATGTAATGTATGGATGACGTTGCATGTTTTTCATTTATGATCGTGGCGTGTACTCCGACTTATTCTCTTTTTGTTCTTGAAAACCAAAGGGACTTTAGGTTTTCGTGAAATTTACATGTGAGCTAGCCCTGAAAACAACCTCACCCTCTCCTGGTTAGTCTAATTTTGGAACATTTGATGATCCTGTTTAGAGAACTTTCAGCACAGGGTGAGATTATACTATGAAGTTCTTCCAGAAAAAGTGGAACGTTGCTGTTTATTGTTCATGAGAGAAATTTACGGAATTATTATTTTTATCGATATGTTGATGTAATATTAAACGATACCCGTTGTATGTTACACGACGCGGTCAGGACATTAAACTCTCAAACGTCTGTATACTCGTGTCTTGGAGAGTAAATATAGCTGCGATCTTTCTGTTAGGTTAGAAGTTGAATAGCGTTGAGGTCTCTGTTATTAGGCTTTCCTCAGGTTATACTGAGTGTAATTAAACTCTCGCTTAGTTTCCATAGTCACGAATTCTGTAAGACAAGGTAGTGACGAAAGGTGCTGGGACACTATTATATTCAATGTGCCCTCATGCATTGATTTTTACATACAGATGTACTGTGTAGGAACTACTAAGTATACTTGATTATAGTGCTTTCTCATTTATGTTATGTAATACATAAAGCAGTGATATTTAATCTTTCCACGTGATCTCTCATAATTATTTCGCTTCGATGGCAGACCGCAAGTCATGCGGAGAATTCAGTTTGTTATATAAAACACACTCAAACATACGTGTATAAATATATATTCTTGCGCTTGGACGTAACTATACGAATTACGAACTAATGTTGGTATTGTTTTGTATTAATGCATTTTAAAAGAAATTCAATTTTTTCCATGTGTATTAACATAATTTTTCAACTACATGTTCGTATACACAGGACTGATCAAGAAAGGTCTTCTGATGTAGAATTAATATCAAACGTATGCTCCACCTAGCGTGACATGTTTGCTATTTCTTTATGATTTTTAGCAATGTCTTATACAATCACAATCTCTCTCTCTCGTGTTTGTGTGTGCGCGCGCGCACATGTTTTTTCACTCGGTTTCTGTGCAGTTGTTTGTAAACTGTCATAAGTCATTAACATGTAGCCATTAACATACATTAAGCTTCAAATCTTCTTGACGTATCTGATAACAGAATCTGGTTAGTTAGAATAAAATGCAGAATATGAAACGCTAGAAGGGTATGAGGTCAATTGAAACAAGAAACTTAAAATCGTGGAGAGGAATTTAGCTATGGAACTCAAAATTTGTCATTCACTGATAACGATTACAAAAATAAGTTCGCCTTCTTGAATTTTATTTTGAATCATTGATGAACGGTCACATTGAAAAAATAAAATATTTACCCAAGATTTTTGGCGCGTTTCTAATTCTTTTTTCAATAAGTGTATAACGCGCAAGCACACACACACACACACACACACACACAACACGGCAGTCAAACATGTGGTAGGATGCAACTGCACCAAAACATCAGTGTGTTCAGACTTGATATTGTTTACACGATGATGAAACGTATTTTCACATTATGTATTATATTTTAAAACGTTATTCTCATATAAATGCTATTTAACAAAAGAATGATGGTGGAGTGCACGTACAAGGTTGTTTTTGAGAGGCACTCTTCCAAGTGACGATATGTGGAAATTACGACAGGGCGGAATGATGTTTAGTGTGGGAGGGGAAGGTGGGGCACCTAAGGGTGCCACTCAATTTACGTGGTACATGAAATGATTGTGTTATAAATAACCTAATTATTTCTTGACTAAAATCAACTTTAAGACTAGGACTCATTGTTTGAATTTTAACGAAACAATTAAGCTAGCGTGTTTAACCGTAAATAAATTTGAAAAAACTAACATTTTCGACAAATGGATATGTCTTGATCAGGGACAAAAGCAGTGTTTTTTTTGTTTGGTAGTGTAGACACAGTGCTGCTACTTTTATTTATTACAGCCAAACACTTGACCACCACGTGCAAGGACTCTATTTGTGCCAGGAGTTGTGTATGTGTAACCTGAACTAACACCGTGAATTTTAAAATCTAAATCACGTACATAAATTATATCGCTCTGGATCTATGCCTGTGGCTTAAGCAAGTTTTAGCACTGTGCCGGATTCAAGCTCATGTTGAATAAAATATAACATGTACAGCAACTAAAGGATGCTCTTTGTAATAAATAAACGCAAATTCATTATGATTTGGTGATACCAGCCATTTCACTCTCCTTACAAAAAACTGGTCATCCTTATTTTTCTGAACGAGTTATGTTTGGGGTTTTTAAGCTAGGTTGATAATTTTTAGCATAAGGTACAAATTTAGCTATATATGAACCTACCCATGCCCACTTATGGAGGTTTTTAATTTACTATAGTCAGAAAGTTGAATTGTTTAGAAATTCTTATTGACAGCCCAGAAGCTTATTTTTTATGCCATATTTTTTTAGATATAGGTTTTTTTCTTCTGGAAAGAAACAAACAAAAAAAAACAACTGAGATTAATACTTAATACCTAAAATATTGCTTAGAAAAAACATCAATTATGTGCCTTGATTGTCTTTTTCGTCTTGCGTTTCGTTTACCTTTGAAAATGATAATGTCAGCTAGGAATATTCAATTAATTTTTCAGGCATCATTTTATTTTAAATACAAGACTTTTTGGACTAATATTTTATTCCCAACAAATGGAGTGCTTTTTACCCTTATCCCGTAGTGTTTTCATTCCATGTACTGGAATTTTGCTAATGTAGCAGGTAACTGATATTGCTACAAACGTGATACAGAACACGTATTGCTTGGGGTAAAGATACCAATGCGTTCTTTCCTAGCTGTATTTTCCCGTGTCATAACAGTGTTGAAACGCATTAGGTTATCGTAACAGATGATGTTTACTAGTCTATTAAACGATTACAGACTTATGACCTGTCATATCATGCACAGCCATGACCAGGCCAACGTGATTTGGATTACGAAGGTCTGTAAATACATGCGTTATATATTGAGCAATGGAAGACCTACTCTTCTTGTTAGCGTCTGGGCTTGACTTATTACGATCGCACGCCATCTTAGCGGTATGTAATGGAAATCGGGAACAGTATCTTCAACCAATCTTGTGGAAGTTCTACTTTCCTCCACACGGTGTGAGCTTCATGGCAAAGTGTGTTCCTTGTGTTTCCTGAGATATCGATAGATAGGTCATGCTTTATAGAATCAGTATTTAAACTACTTTCTTTCCGTCTAGCTGTTGTATTTATGGCATCACCAAAAGATGTGGAGCTGCTGACAACCAGGTAAAACTTTGTTTTGTGGCTGGAAAATAATTGAACTCCCATAATGTTTCATCAGAGGGTGTTTTAAGTTTTCTGTTTAATAATTATGAACTGTAGAAATTTTCAGTTTAAGTATATTGTGATACCTTTGAAGGAGTGCACTGAGTTCTATTGAAAACTGTTCCTTTCCCCACCAATTTAATGTACAAGTTTAGAAAAGGCAGAATTCTGCCTTTTTTCTGTTTGACATCACAATTCTCAACATTAACAGTTGAAAAATCACTGTAAAGTAGACATTGTTGATGTACTTGTGTAAGAGCTGTGGCACTTCTGTTGGTATTTGATCTCCTGATTGTTACATCTTTACCACTAAACCGATGAAGCACATCTTCATGTCTCAGCTGAGCTGTTTCAAGAAGTGACTCTTCTGCTTCAAATGCAAAAAAGGGTTAGTTAATAGGTATTGACAACTTGCTTTTCTTACCAAGTTTAGCCGTACTGGTTTTAATATCTGTGCTTAATGTTGCTTACGGTGAAGGGTATTCTATGCTTAAGGACTATTTTGTATTCTGGACAAGTTGGTTTTTACTTGTGTAGCCTTTGTAGAATTTTGCAATTCAAAATTAAATTTTGTGGGTTTAAAGAATCGAAATCTGGTTGAAGTCTGTTATATAATTCATCCTGTTTTATTTCTGTAGCTGTGTCTGGGCTTATCTCTTGTCGTAAATGTTCCTTCTGACAAATGATATTTTTTTCCAATCTGTACTCTTGTGCTGCTTTTTTGGGACTTGAAAGTAGCTTTATAGGATCCCTATTTTGAAATACACGTCTTGGTACCATCTACAATACAATATACTCCCTCCGCACACGTACACAAAGATCCCAATGTATTTCAATGTATGATGCTTCTTGTCTATCTTATCAATATCTTAACTTATCCAAGCCTTATATTTGCCTAAGATGCTGCAAAGAGATATATCTGACACAGAATTGAATGTTTGAGAAAATATGTAACATTAAAAACAAAACAACAACAAAAAAACAGAATAAAGTTCAAATGTGTAAAAGTAACATTAGCATGTAGTATTATTTATGATGTTTCTCGGAGACATAGAAGTGGCTTAAAATTGTTTTTGAAATAATATTATTAAAAAAAATATTCTGTATAAATATTGCCTCAGAATTTTCATGTAACAATAGAAATTGAATATGTGAAGCAATCGTTGGTTTATTCGTGAAATTTAGGTTACAAACTGGGTATTGCTGAAAGGAGAGCACAACAGCAATTATCTCAATTTGAACTTTTGTGTTTAAAAGAGTTAATGGCAAGTTGCATAGAGCATACAGTTCACAATGTGCGTTTCGTACCTGTCACAAGTCCCGGATTTCACTTGCGTTTGGGTATATAATATATATTGTGTAATTTCAACTGCCCTCACCCAGACTATCTCTTTCTACCCAAATAATCTCTAGAAATGCATGTCTCTCTAAGAATAATTAATGTCCGTTTCTGTAGACGATGGGCAACGAAACGAAGAAGTAGGCCATCTTTTGTATATCTGCTCATTCGACTATCAAGTTTTATCTCGTTGTATCCATTTGAAGGTTGTATCTTGTATGATTTTGCCTCAGAAAACATGACAGATATTTTTTTTTTCAAAAAAGAGTATTGGTCGTTCTTTAGCTATTTAATTTGTTCTGCAAGATAACTAAATAGAAAACAAAAATCACGAAGTTGTAGAAAAACTATTATATTCTCTGAAAAAGATGTATTTTATGAATGCAAAGACATCAAATGTTTTCGAAGCATTTGGATTACTAAACTCACTGGAAATGTTGAATTTATTAAATTCTTCAGCTATAGAACTTCTGTCTTTCTTTACTGTACGGATGTGGATACTTTATTATCATGATAAAATTCTTAGTATTCTTTTTAACTCAGGTTCAAGACAGTTGTAGAAGAAATACATTACTTAGAATAACAATGAATTTGTATGTTTGTTTGTAGTTAAGCACAAAGTTACACAATAGGCTATCTGTGCTGTGCCCACGGCGGGTATCGAAACCGAGTTTTTTATCATTATAAGCCTCCAGACTTTCCGCTGAGTCACTGGAAAGGGGGGGACTAAACTTGTGTGTGTGTGTATACACACACACACACACACACACACACACACACACACACACACATCTGGTGTGCATAGATTTATACTGAAGCCTCGGGGTTTTAGTCACGGTAGTCACGCGATTATTATACTTGTTTTAAATGGCTTTAATTCTCTCTCTCTCTCATGGCAAATAAGATGTCTAGGAAAATAACACTGTTTCCGTATTTAAAGGCGCCGCAAACTATATTTTTGGTTTTGTTACCTTAGCACTGTAATTACTCAATACGTTAGGCTACGTGATTGAAATGACTTGACATTATAATGGCAATTTGAACTGCGATTACAATTGGCGGGTATTTCCTTTATAGTAAAATTGCATCTTTTTTTGGAATAGAATCAATATGTTGTTAATGTGTGTATGCTTAGTGAAATACAAAATCAACAGCAATGCTTTTCATCTGACTCATGTTGGTACACTTTTATTTATATACTAGCTGGAGGATATAATAGTCAGTGGACCCAACCGAAACTTATCGGTACAATTTGGGGGTATTAAACTTGTTTTGTGGTACTCTTTTGAATACGTCAACATCCCAAGCCATACGGTAAATCTACATTTTAATTCTTTAAGTTACGTCACATTTTGAAATGTGAATGATAGTGTCATTAATTCCTAACAATTTAGTTTAGGATATCCCGCTTGCGAAATAAAATATGGTTTCAACATTATTCATGCCTGTATGTACTCCCTTCATTTTAAAAGTGAATTTTGAGCTTTGCCTGCATGCGCAGCTTTTAAACGGGAGACAGACGAATGCTCGGACAAACACCACGGTTCACAATATATACAAGATACGTGCATCTTTAGTACGATTTTGAAAAACTCAAAGTTTTCAATAAAGAATATCATTTATGCGATAGAAATAGTTGTGTCTTTATACCTTTGTATGGTGTTAAACAACGTAGTTCTGCATATGAAGTTGTGGGCATTTTTATTGAAAATGTTACTATGTAATTCAAAGAATTTTAGCAATTTTTCCCTCGAGTGCTTATTTGTCAAGCAATTATTTTACAAAAAGCTACAACTTCCCGAAGTCTGTCCTTTCGAAGTGCAATTATTGTTCAGTAGCTCTTAGCATGATTGAAATGCTCAACTATTACTTTTCACGATGGGCGGTATAAGTAGTTCGGAGCTTTGGTTCTGAATGAAACTAAGATTGCAATACAATTAAACTTTTTAAAGTCCATGAAATAATTTAAAATGATAGATTAACTTAAACTTTTCCCATCACTGGGTACGGGTATTTTTGCTTGTGCTAGAATAAATAATCTATTGAGGGTTCATTGCTTTATACTAAAATGATTTTGAATATGCAAATCAAATCACTTGAGAACAGCAAACAATATAATCTCGTTGTGAAATAGCTGTATGAGAACTATATTTTGATATTGTTTCTTCGTGGGTACTGATGTCACAGACAATTTATCGGTTTTAATCGGGGATATGTAACCGTTCTTTCCTACGCAAAATATTCGTATACTCGGATCATAAAAATTGTGTTCAGATCGAGGATTTAGATTTTATAAGCCAGGGATAGCCTTTGTGCTTAATTACATTGGAAAACAAAGGATCAACTTGAGGGCCCGGGACCATCCAAAAAGAGACCGGTAACAAGTCGTAACCTAGCTGTAGTAAGCAAAGTGCAGCATCTTGCGACAGGTGAGAATCCACAAACACACAGGTCAGTGGCAAAAGCCGTCCACGTATGCAAGGCTACTGTTCGCCACATAACCAAAAAGGATCTCCGTCTGGAGAAGTTACATAAGCAGCATGTATACAAATTGCTCCTACGACAAGTATGTTCAACTCTCGCATACTTCAAGCAGAGGGGGAGTGATATAGGTATTCATTCTACTCACGTGAAGGTATATACTGGTCAAATGACTCGTGGATTTCTGTGCAATCGTACTGCTAAAACGGGAACTGGGAAACCTTTGTCCTCGTACACTAGACGGATTATAGAAAACATGGAGGGAGGAGTGGTGTGTTTAGGACATCATAATCTTGTGCTTATGCAATGGATATTGTCGAGATGTAAGTTCTTCAGATAGAGCATGACCATACTTGGCGAAATTGACTATAACGAGTAGTGAGGTTCCAAAATCCATTTATGTGTGACATATTTAAGGTATTTATTTATTATACGTTACCATAATTGTATTACTTTAATTGTTTAATTTAATTGAAAAGAAAAAAAATATTTTTTTTTTTACTTAGCTATAAATACTTTATTAATCCTGTCTCCTCTCTGGGAAAATCACAAATTAAAAATAAAATGGGACTTCTCAAAATTCAGTTTATACAAATATAACTGAAGAACTTGTCTCATTAGTATAATCTATGTTCAGATATTACCATATACAAATTTCTGGTGTTCGGGCATACGCAGAATATTTCCTACAGTTCTACAACGAACTACATATTGGCTTGACTGTCTTTCCTATCACCAGAGATGGCTACTCATTTTCTTAATGCTATATGTTCTTGGGGATTAACATTGTCATCCTCCTCACAGGATACAACTTGTCATATTTCTAAACAACACCTGTTAGTAAATTTAAGACCTTTTTTTATGCAGATGCAATAAAACACCAGCATGTGGAAGTTGGTTGTTCTAAAACTACTTCAGGAGATGTAAGTATGCTCATCCAGACAGTCATTTGTTTCATTTGATGTATTCCACTGATACCCACCAGGGCTGAGTGTACAAATGTTGTCTTCAAATGACAGCCAAGTAGTTAGTGCTGACCTCTCCTTGTACAGAAATTTAGATAGCACAGTTTGCTTATGTTAATAGAACTTTTTGAGCCATGTTGAAGCCAAGTAAGTTCCTGAAATTGCTGAAAGAATTCTTCTGAGATTTGTAGATATGCAGCATGTTCACTGAATTCTGTTTGACACATCAGGCCACCCTTCACTGATTTCAATGACTTCGGTACTTATGCCCTAGGTTGCAGGCAAGGCAAAGCTCTGCATACATCAGTCAGAATGTATGAGGTTCATCTTGTTATGAGATCCGGATAGACATTTCTTCCATTCTTGCACCATGTTGCTGCCCAAAATATTATTGAAATGTGCTCCTTCGGTGGCACTTCATTTTTCTGTTTTCTGTATTATTTATTTACACACACACACACACACACACACACACACACACACACACACACACACACACACACACACACACACACACACACACACACA